CAGCCTTCTGCATATCTGGAACATCGTTCCTGTGGCTTCTCAAGGCGTAGTCATAGTATGAAGTGATCTTCTTTATCTTTTGTTGCGTAAGTCTGCCCTTTCCACCAAGTGAGCCACCTTAAGCTTTTTTTTTTTCTCTACAAGGGTACGTAAGGCAGCTCCCATACGCTTGTGTACATGATTTATGCAGTCCTTTTTGGCCACCTTTATGAAGCCGTACACCTCTTTTTCTGTGAGTGCATGGAATGCCCTGCTGTCACCGTCCGACAGCATTGTCGTATAATTAAGCTTGTGCTTTTCAAGTGAATGCTCAAAGAAGCGAAGTGCTGCCTCCACTTCCATCTGGCCGCATTACAATCAACATTCTTCTGGCACAGAGGGGCATGCTAAATAAGCCAGGCAGAATGTCCTGCTTCTCCTTCCTTGGGTCCTGTGGTGCCAGCCAGGCAAAAGTTCGATAGCACGATATGGTCTATCACGAGGCCACTATACATCTCAACAATGCAGCCAATACATGTATATGCGAGCTATGTCTACGCGTAAGCCAGATGCCGTCATAAATAAAGTCAACGTTCCCGGGCGCGTTGCCGAACTCCGCATAGAGCTCCTTGACGCGAGCAACGCTCGCCGCTTCGCATTCGGCAGCAGTCGCACAGCAGGCTTCTTTCATTATATTGATGTGGCTTTGGTAACTCTTGTGGTGAAGCCCTCGATGCGAAATATTCATCCCGGTGAAGCAGTCCGACAGAGACGTTGCCCCCTTGCCGATACTGTTGATGGCCTTCATGGCACGCATATTAACATCAAACGGCCTTATTTTGGCGTCGGTCTCGTCGGCTATACGTGGGGACGAAAAACGCTCTTCGCGAAAGTCACAACTGCCGCACGTGACTATGAGCTTCGAACACAGCCCGTACTCTTTCTTGGCCTTTGAAATAGTGACGCTTCTTTCACCGCATTCTAGGCACGTGACAAGTCCAAATAACGAGCGTATCGCCGTCAGATCAACAATAACAGATTCTGTCCCGTTTTCTTTGCCACCATCCTCCAAATCAATATCTAGTAACTCGAACTTATGTTCCGTCGCGCACTGCGATGCGAGTGATGCCTTCGTGCCCGCTGCATTTCTCGCGCACTCAGCAAACTCATCCGCCGAATAAAACCCCGTGCCAATGCAGTCTAGGATGCTGCTGGAAGTGCAATATGACGATCCGACGACGACACAATCCGATAAGGTGCTGCTGCAAGGCACAGGAGAGTGCATCGCTTCAGACACAAGCGGCCGCGGCTGCGCGCCGTCGTCGGAATGCGCCGCTTCGGCGGCATCGGGCGAAATCGGCTGCACGTTGTCGGCTGCTTTCTCCTGGCGGGCGTTCCACAGGCGCCTCCGTTTCTTGCCGTATGCTTGCCGCGTCTTCTTCTTTAAACAAGCGTCTCCAATCATGCCGGCAAAAGACGGAAAGTCAGTTCGTCGGTCGCGTAGCACAAGTAGGCACGTGCGGGAAGCAGACGAACAATGTGCGCGAACGGGAACCGGCAGCCGACGAACAATATACAAAAAAAAAGCGCAGGCAACTTTGGCCACATCAGCCAATGGGAAGCGAGGAACAGGGGGCTCGCCTGGTGCGCGCGCGCTCCGGCCAATCAGCGGCCCGGAAGGGGGCTCTGGAAAAGGGTCGAGGGCAGCAGTTCTATTTAAGCGACGCGATTTTGAAGGGTGGCAAAATGCGCACAAAGGAATCAGCTTCAAAACAAGCCCAAGATGGCAGCGATTGGCCAACTGCCTCGCCGGCGGCGCGCGCGGGAAGTTTGAACGAATTTGACCTGCCATGGGTTGTTTTGCGGCTCCCGTGGTGACTTCATAATCAATTTTAATCCATTTACTGATCGAATTCAGCGTTCACAGTTTTAGGACACGTGCTTATAGGTCTAAAAATTTCAAATATCGCATTTTCTCAAAATTGACTTTTTGGCCATTTTTCACCATTCTAAGACCCGCGTCCCCCTTTAAAGCGAGCAGGTGCTGGCTAACTAACTTTATGAAGAGGAAAGGCTTTTCCCTCCGAAGGTGAACGGGCATATGCGAAAAGTTTTGCGGAGGAGTACGATGAAAAGTTTCACAGTTTTCAGAGATTCGTCCTAAACTTGCGGCACAACAACGGCTACCTGTTTGGGCAAATCAAGAATGCCGATCAGATGCTTCTTTACTTCGACATTAATACGGAAAGACGGGCTAGTTGGTACTGCTGCATAATTGAAGTTTTTGCGCACACACACAAGGACACAGAAGAAGCGCTGGTCCTTGTGGTCCCTTCTTCTGTGTCCTTGTGTGTGTGCGCAAAAACTTCAATTACTTCGACATGCCTGGCACCACACCCGTCGAGAAGAAGGGGGCGAAGGAAGTTCGCGTGCTGACATCGGTCCACGGTAAAACTACTGTGACGGCAATGCTGTGTTACACATCTGATGGGCACAAGCTTCCCCTGTACCTCATATTTAAATGGAAGACGCTCCCGAAAGGAGTTGTTTTTTCGAGTGGTGTGATCGTGCGGGCCAGCGAAAAAAATGGGTGCGCATTGCAATTGGTGACTTATTTTTTTTCGTCGTGGAAATCGGGTGCGCGTTACAATCGAGGGCGCGGTAGAATCAAGTAAATACGGTAGTGTAGCCTTGTGCAGTACAGCATAGCAAGGAAGTGGACAAGGTAAACTGTTGAGAAGGATGTAGAAGAGTTGGGGAGAGAGTAAAGTGCAGCATTTCCTTGCATAGTATAGCGAGGGGGTTGGATAAGACCATGAGACTGATGAGAAGGAAAATAAGGGAAAGTGAAGCATATATATCATGGCCTTAAGACTTTCAGAAAGCTCCAACCAATAAATGGGTTTATTTCCCCGCTTTCAAAACCAACTTCGTTCCTTATTCAGGGGGAGTGACAGCGAAGATGTTGAGGTGTACCTTTCAACTTCACCTGGGAAGAAGTAAAGAATGAGTGTCTTTTTTGATGGGGATATCAGTTAACGGGGTTGTAGTTGCTGTAGGTTGCATGGGGTTGACGGGCTGGGGGATGGCCAAGGACGGAGACTTACGTCTGTTTACGTTCGCGGACTAACAGCAAGAAGGGCAAGCGGAACTGAGAACTCCACGGTCCCAGGCAGCCTCCAGCCCATCAACCCCACGCAACCGCAGCAACTACGACCTCCTCAACATTCTCGCCTTAAAAAAAGACGGGCCTACTTCTCCCCAGTGGGGCCCTCAAAGAAGTTAGGAGTTGCACCTCAACACCTACGTGTCACTCCCCCTGAATATGGAACCGAGTTGGTTTCAAAACGTTGGGTAGTAAACCCATTTTCGTTGGAGCTTTGTGAAAGTCTTAATTACTGAACCAAACAAGCAACTCTATCAAAATGTTAAACTTTAAATATCATAGTCTTGTATAGTGTAATACAGCAGAGCTAAAGAAGGGAAGTGAGGGTGATGAGGGAAAAGTGAAGCATAGAATATAGCATAGCAGTGTACAGTATAGCAAGAGTGGGAGAGGGAAGTGTGGGTAAGGGTAGAAAGAATAAAAAGGAGAGGGTACAGCATAGCATAGCCTTGTTTAGTGTAGTATAGCAAGGGGTGGTCAAGGAAAGTAGAGGTGAGGAAAGAGCGAATGAAGAAGGGCAGAGGGTACAGCATAGCATAGCCTTGTTTAGTGTAAGTATAGAAAGGGGTGGGAATGGGAAGTGGGGGTGAGGAAGGAGCGAATAGAGAAGGGCAGAGGGACGTTGGGAAATAAACCCATTTTTTGGTGGAGCTTTTTAAAAGTCCTAACTATCAAACCAGACAAGCAACTCTATCAAAATGTTAAAATTTAAATATCATAGCCTTGTTTAGTATAGCAAGGGGTGGGAAATGAAGTGAGGGTATGAAAGATGGAAGATAGTAAAGCATAGCGTAATTATGTACAGCAAGGTGGGAGGTAAGTTAAGGTGAAGAGGATGGAAACGCCACCAGCCTTGCGGTTTTCACGGTCTTCACATCCCTGTAGTGCGTAGCTGTGCCAATTTTTTTCACCTTCTAAACGGGCCCTAGTTCTGCTTTAACTAAGTATAAGGGGCAGGTACTAGCACGCCTGTCATGAACACTCTCTGGTAGTAGTGAGGTAGGCGGAATAGTGAGAACATGTATGGTGCATTGTAATGTGGCAGACTTGTGTTATTGGTCCCCCATTCACGTTGTGGACCACTGACACCTGAAACGTAAGCCTGAACTGAAAAGTGTTCTGCAATCACACTTTTTAGGAATTGGAAAGGCACCTGCTCTAGTGCTACCAACTTGCATGAGGTAGCATTCAGGCTCTGTTATTGGCTATTTTTAAGAGCCATAATTAACTTTCATCATGGTAGATATAGTGCATAGACAGTTTACACTGATTTCGTCTTTAGCATGTCATGATAGGGGCAGCAGCATGCTGAGGTGGCAAAGCTGTTTGCACCTTTGGTTCTAGCACCATTATTCATTTAACCAGATCTGTGACATAAAGGCAGTTTACCTGTAGAAGTGACTGCAGTGATGTTGTATTTAAGGCCCAGTACGATAAAGAACTGCGATTGTTTAGTTCCACATTGGGCACTTGCTTCTAGCAGTAATATTAATGTACCAGAGACTGAAGTGTTCTTGATGCTTATGTGCTTAAGTGTCATTTACATGGCCTAAAGTGACCTGATTCTGAGTCATGTCTTGCACATATGAAATATCTGTTTTTGTCCTTTGCAGTATCACTGTTGCACCTTGTGTTTGTTCCTTTCAGGCTTGCACTGTATGTGGAATATTGCAGTCTGTTCAGTAATCGAATGCCATGAAACCTATCCACATGGTGATATTGGCACTCCTGTTTAGAATATCGCAGGTACAATATTAAAAAAGGGGCAAAGAAATTCACTGTGAAACAGGCATGCAAATAATCACCATGTCCACCGTTTCAGAACTCTGACTTCTTTGTTTGTGCATGCCCGCAGGAGCAGCACAGGAAGGCCAGCCTCGAGCACCAAGTCCGGCAGCTGCAGCAAGAGAACCACCGTCTGCACGAACAGTCCGAGACTGCAAGCGCCCAACTGCGCCGTTTCGCAGACTGGTTTTTCGGACCCTCCGACACGTAGCCAGGCACCCGCATGAAACTGTCTCGTTTCTGGCTCTTTGTCCGAGATGGATTACCTCTGCCGACCATGGAGCAGTTTTCCCATGGTACCGAAACTCGAGTTATTTGGAAACCCGAATGCAAGGGTCAGTGGTTCAGCAAGTTGTTTTGTCTGCCACATTCCTTCATTCTTGTGCTCCTCCAAGACAAGATGCAAGTTCGTGACAAAGCTCGTCACCTGATATGTGATCACTCATCTGTGAAAAATTGTCCGTGAGGCTGGGGTGATACGCTATTTCCTCTGCTTCCCTAGCGCACAAGGCGTTGTGTCCTTCTCAAACAACTTCCGGGCAGCTTCAAGACTTCTTTCAAGCCGCTGTTCTCAGCATATGTGTCACAAAAAAAAAGGCTGTCCAAAGTCTGCTTCACCGTCCTTCGTGGTGACAGGCCAGAACTTATTACAAGTGGGGCTTGACTTTTGGCACAGTAAAGCATAGGGAAATGTTTGCTGCAGTGTTTCTACATCTGAAGCATAGGGCATTGGATGGCACTATTTTGCCAATATCTGACTAGAAAATACTAAAGGTTGGATGAATGAACCATCGTGGTTGTGTAACTCTGAGGCTCATCTGTATCATTGCTTTTCACTGCTTCTGGCTCGAACGAGTGCTGGCTTGTACACAGCAGGCTTGCCTCTTCAAGGAAGCATCTGCAACCCCAATGAGTGAAGTGCAGTCTTTTCGTCTGAAGTCGACATCTTCTTCTAACTCTTGTGTTGGCAAGGGGAGGAACTTTGAAAAGATTGGAGTGACATTGAAAAATGCAGTTCAACGAGGGAACTCGAGTGGTGCGCCCTACCAATGCGTTTTTTTCGCTGCCAACACGTGACCAGTGGCTAGAGCTGTGCTGAATCGACTCAAAACTCAACCGTACCTTATACATCAAAACTGCTACTCGCAATGTAACTGTTGTCGCGTGTTCTCATAGTTGATGTTCTGTGTGTGTATGTGTGTAGCTTGTAAATCTTGCCTGCTGACAGGAAACCGGGTAAGCCGTTGTTGTACGTACTCAGCCCACCATCAATTGCAGCCGAATGTGCTGCATTTCTTAAGAGAGGAATGTTACGTGTCGATCTTTATTTCATCTACGTATACCATATGTCGCATCCTGCATAAAAACGCTGAATGTAGTTTGTTTCACCGTGTCGCTACAAGTCTGGCACCCGCAGGTGGTGTTGAGGTTTATGCAAGCTGGTTACTTGTCAAGGAATTTGTCATGTAGTTTTCGAAGTGGGTGCGATTGCCTTACGTTCTCAAATTAGCCAAAGCCTGTCATTTAGCCACATTTCGGACTGCTTGGAATGGCATTCAAAGATCGAGGCTGATGACAGCAGATGATGTTCAAGCATTTGCAGCCGAATTGTCATTTAAAACCATTTGTCCCATTCGGTTAAGCATTGCCGGTTATAACGCAAAATGAGCATTAAATAAGAGTCGTGTTTTTATTGCTGTTGTAATGAAAACTGTCCCATATTTTTTATATATACACTATTAGGCACTGGCAATGAAAAACCAATCAAAAAAAGTCTTGCATGGATCTTTAAAGGACTAATCAGATAGAAATTTTCAACATTTCTTCTTCCTGAAGATTGTGTGCAAGTGTTTGGCAAAATTAAGCACGAGTACACTCAAAGCTCATTATAACAGTCAAATATGCCACAAAAGTACCTTTGTTATATCCAAAAGCTCATTATAAATGTGTATTCTAAATATTGTATGACAAAACCGTTTTTTTTGTTCTTTGTTATAACCAACAATTCATTATATCCAGGTTCCTTATATTGAGGTTTCAGTGTAGTTTAGCTGGCTTTTCGGAAGTGTGCAATTTGGTATATTTTGTAGAATCAAGTTATTGGTATATCAAGTTATTGGATTGGTATATCTATTCGTTTAAGCTCCAGGGCTCTCTGAAATTTCAAGCTTAAAATGTTATTCAGAATGTCTTTTTTCCCCATCAACATTCCATTGTATTATCAACTGTGCCAATGAAAGTGCCGCAGCCTTGCATGTTCAACAACTGAGACTGTCCATAATGCTCTTCACCATTGCTCTTTGCTCACCGTGTGTCAACTTTAGCTAGTATGTCTAATGACTGTCTTGAATGAGATGCTTTTACAACTCAGAAGACCTTATTTTAAACAATTCTTCTGCACATTGTCCCTGCTGTTGCTCTGTATCATGGTATTAAATGCACCACTGAACTCAGTCATCTGTTGCGCTTAGTTGATATTTTCATTCCTGATAACCATCGCTTGTCTTTCTTCAATAAAAATAACTGCTCCAGCGACGATCAGTGAAGTAGAATTAAACCAAACATGATATTTTATCGTTTGCATGATGAAACACTGGAAACACAGCTTTCTGATTGCATGTGCCAGTGATGAAGTGTACTTGCTATAATATTTAGAAACCAAGGCATGACATCTGGCTTGTAAAGGTCAGCTAAATGGCGTTGCACTGTTACTTAAGGTGGCAGCAAAGTTCTCTTTCAGGGCAAGAGATTGTCCCAGTCTGATGTGCAAACTTGGACAAGAGTTGGAGATTAGGAGAATCTGTCAGTAGGGTCAAAGTGCTGTATTGAATGCAATGCAGTGTGCTTCCTAATTTCTTTGGCTGTGACATACATGAAAAATAATTGTTATATTCGTGCAGATGTATTAATAGGTGAAATTACCCTCGTGAGATTTTTATGCCTGAATTCTGCTTCTAGTGTTTTTCTCTGCAAGCATGGTGAGCACTCCTGCTGCTTAGAGTTTGGCGTGGTCCCCATTTTCACTTAGCTAACAGTACCTCGAAGCATGTTCTTGATGTTGTACAGTTGTAATTGTTTGTCTCTACTGAACTTTGCTAACTTGTTCTTTTGTTTGGAGTTCACTTTGACTATTTAGAGTTCCCCATGCATGAAGCTGTAGCAAGAAGTCGGTATTTAGGGGCCTAGCATGATGCTTCTCAACCTTGTCACTCATTCCTACGATCTATAAAAAGGGTGTGCTTCTTGTTCTGATACCGAATGAGCACCTTCTTCCTTCAGTATCACTGACGGTGCATTCTTCTTCCCTGAGTGATTTCATGAAAAAACTGTGATCTATATGAACTGTAGCCTTTCCTTTCTTTTACCCAGAGTGAAAACGCAGTAAGTTTCTCAAAAATGTCGAAGGGCATTTGGGGCATTGTGATTCTCCTACTTTGAAAATGTCACCCAGCCTGTGAAAGTGCATTTTAATGAATTTCGCAGTTCTAGCACTCTGCATAGTGTGTCCGCGTTTTTGTGCCAAGGATATTTGCATTGTGGTCGTTCCCTTGGAAGAGTCGTTCTTTTCTTCTTGTGCTCATAATAGCTCCCCACAAGGCCGTTCGCTCGTGCTTGTTTATCAAGCCGTATGTAGTTTGCAGCAATGGTATAACTTTGCATGCATGCGCAGGGTTGTTTGCTGTCACTTTCATGTGAATCGTTCATTGCCTCACGCGAACACGCTCATCAAAAGTGTCTTCAAACCTTGGATGTCATGCACATTAACCACTTCAAGACACAAGGAGAATCACGTGCTCAAGGTTTTCGTTGTTTCTCCTCTTTTATGTCTCTATTTATGTTCTGAATTTTTTTTGCCATTGTGCGACTCGAAAACAATGCTGCCATTTTGCTGTGTCCTCTTTAATGTGGATCCTGCAACCAGGACAGAAATGAAGCCAGCACATCGTGCTCAATGTACTCAGGTTTTCTCCTGCTTGTTCTTTGATCTCGGCAGCATTGACTTGTCCTTGAATCTTTCACTCTAACTCTGAACAGAGGACATGGGCCGTGTGACTATCGCAGGTCTGTTGCTGACGTTTTCACTGCAATTGTCGGATTCATTTACCGCTCATTCAGGAAATAGGTGTGTTCTTACGCATCTATGTTTCACAGAGGGATTAACATTATGAATCCTGTAACATCATGAAAACCGTGTGGTTTTAATTTAAGCATCACCTGTCGAATCGAGCTAATGATGCCGAGTACTTTTTACAGGATGGAAGTGGTTGGTCAGAAATGACAATCTGTTTAACGAATGCTTGATAGGTGTTGTGTGTATGGCTTGCTAGTTTCTTGGTTGGCCACTGTTAAGTTATTTAATGAGTGTTCAATCGAATTACTTGCTGGCGCATAAGATGGTCAGTGGTGCTGCGTAATGGGGCAGCTGGCATATTTAGACAGGACTCGGTGCGCGACATCTCTCTGTGAGGTTTCCTTGGGGTTTCATCGAAACTAAGTTCTATGTTGCTGAAGTGCTGCACATTTGTTTGGAACACAAGTGTTTCATGCCTTGTTGACCTCCTCTAACGATGTCAAAGAGTGTCATTCCGCTTTCCAAAAGAGTCTTTTTGCTCAGCCTGATATTTTGCCCTCCTGTATGTTTTCGTGTGAGATGCAGGTATGTCACGAGTGTCACATGGCAGCTCTCTGTGCAACTCGTAGCCACGCAACTCCAGATAACTCGCACCCAGTGCTCTCGCTGTATCAGCCAGTGTCTTCCCGTGCACGGTGCCGAGACAGTTGTTTCTTATGTTGGCTGCGCACAACGTTGTGAAGCTTTCGTGAAGCAGCCGTCTTTTTTGACATGTGCAATTGCTGCATTGTTAGCAAGACAATAGGAGTAGTGCATTTGCTTGATGCAGCAGCCTAACGTGTGTGTTTGAACCATTCCTTTTTTTTTTCTTGACCTCAAGACAGAAGCGTCACCTCTGCAAGTGTAAACATTTTGTTGTTTTACTTCAAATCCTCATTTAACCACATCTTTTCAGTTATATACTTCTTGTACAGTACCTCAAGCTCTTTTATTCACTACGAATTTTTATGAGTGTTCATTTTTATAGCGCCACCTTCATCTGACATTGTAGGTTGTCTGCATTTGTGTGTTTGAGAGTGTCCTTTTCTTTTATTTGCTGCTGCTGTTTGCGCATTAAGAATGTTAAGACGAAAATGCCTCCCGTATTTCCCCGTTCCTGCAGATTTCCTTTTTTTTTTTTGTTGAAAAGCAATAATAAAAGTAGCCAAAGATGCGTTCGAAAAGATCACTCATTGCTGCATTTACTGTGAACTGTGCTGCAATGAGCAAACAGTATGCTCTGTGACTGAGCTGTTGTGCCACCACTGAATATGTGCATACAGCTTTCTGCTTGTATGGTGACTCAATCCTTTAGCTGTGGGAGCAGGATGGTGGGGGAGGGAGTTAGTGATTAAAATGTGCTACACTTAATCCATCATTTGTTGATATAAAGGGAACCTTTATTTCTAAGCATTTCAGCATTGCTAAACATGGATATTCAAAGCTTTGCTTGGGTACCTTACCCGAGTAAAGCCTTTGAATAAGGTGTGGAAAAATTATCCGTGTACCATTTAACCCAGTCATAAACTTCATTGCTTGTAAAGCCTAAAATAACCGCTAAAGTGCTAAACAAGCTGACGTAATACTGGCAATGTATAGCTGCAATGAGAGAAGGAATCTCTGCATTAACCCGTTCCGACGCTATGTACACACTTGTCCACACCACTCGTTTTCGTTATTTGCATAAAATAGAGGCTAAGAAAGAGCAAGATATATTGTACATTAGATTAATTGAACCACCTGCATGATTAATTTGTCTTGATTTAACCTCATTTTGCAGTGTACTGATATATATGATCACTTTTCTGAAGGCACTAACCGCGTTTGACGAGTTGTGCGATGTGCCGCTTCCTGCAAGCAATGTGAAAAGGAGAAATTTTCCTTACTCACAATTGACATAACCAAAAATAAATTTACACTATATTTCTACCCTGAGACTAGATTCTATTTATGCCAAAAGTAAGAATCAATGACTTCAGGATAAAGAGATATTTAATTGCAACTTAATTATTACTAGCTACTATGACAAAAATAGATTCAACAATCATCTCGTTATTTTTGTTGCAATAGAATATTGAGTACTTTGAAGTAACATAGTGATTTGACACATTTACAGACATTTCTTGAAAGGGTTAAATTCTTGTCTGAAAAGGTTAAATTCTTGCACGGAGGCGATCGTCATGGTCGGTGATGGTGTGCGGCAGGCAGGTTTTCTACCACTTGGCCACACGTCTCCTTGAATATACAGAGAAAAGAACTTCCTCTGCTTGGAAATGCAGGGAAAATGACTTGGATGTTTTACAAACACACCTGTCCTATATGCAGGCTTCACGCAATAATATTGTGTGAGACAAGCATTCATTGCCATGGGGTGTCGGAACATGATCCCCCAGTACTTGTGACTCATCGTGACAAACTGGTGGAAGGTGCTGGGTAGTCTCACGGATGCTGCAGACCCCCCCAGGAAGCCGTAATACGAGTCCAGTGCCAGTCAATACTCCCGTGCATCGGACCAGCCGCCGAATCAGGGGATTGCCTCCGGAAGTCAACGATACTGCTTCCACCACGTCAACAAACATGACCAGCACTTCGGTACAAACCTTGCCAACCGGCAAGGGAAGCACGTCGTCGAACCGATATACGTTGGAAAGCCCACGGGCACCGACGACGTTCCATGGTACGGAGAACGAAGACGTTGAGGACTGGTTGGCGGACTTCGAGCGCGTAGCCAACTTGAATCAGTGGGACGACGCGGCGAAACTGGGTCGTGTCTACTTCTATCTCGAAGACGGGGCTCGCACGTGGTATCAAAATCGAGAGGAGCAGCTGACGACGTGGCCCGAATTCTGTCGTAGACTTCTGCAGACATATGCCAGCGCCGACCGCCAAGAAAGAGCTGAACGAGCTATTATTGCCCTCGTCCAGTCGCCAAACGAAACTGTGACCGCGTACGTCGAAGACATGACGCGTCTCTTCCGACGGGCAGATTCAAGAATGAGGGAGGACAAGAAGTTGCGTCACTTGATGCGTGGTGTCAAGGACCAGCTTTTCGCCGGCCTCGTGCGAAGCCCGCCAAAGACGGTCGCGGAGTTCTTGTCTGAAGCCGTGACAATGGAAAAAATGCTACAGCAGCGATCAAACCAATACGACAGGCAAGTCAGTGGCATGTCCACTGCTGACATTTTCGCCGCCGCTGGGACCAGCAATGACTCCTTACGTGAACTCATCCGTAATATCGTACGTGAAGAGTTGCAAAAGGCTGGTGTAACACCTCATCCTACGGTTAGCTCTGTTGCAACTGTGATCAAGGATGAGCTGCACCAGGCCCTCCGGGACACTTTGCCTCCTGATACAGCTGCGTCAGCTCCTGCTGAATACCACCGTGGGACAACCTACGCGGAAGCCTTGGAGCGCCCTGCTGCATCGCCGCCATTGTTCGTTCATCCTGTCCCTGCAGTTTCACTCGAGTCAGCGCAGCACATACCATACTACGAAGGCACGTACACGCCACGGCCCCTGCCCTTTGTCCGTGGTGCTTCTGTCGCCCATCGTTCGGTGCAACCGGTCCAGTACATCGACGATCGCCACTCGTCTCCTCGGAAGTCTGATGTCTGGCGCACACCTGATCATCGGCCTCTATGCTTTCACTGCGGAGAAGCTGATCACTTGTACCGCCAGTGCCCTTATCGCCGTCTTGGGCTTAGCGGCTTCTCTGCGTACGCGCCGCCACCCCGTTACGGTCAGAGACCACGCGACATCCAAAACTACCTCTCCCAGCAGCATGCACCACCGTCTGCCGGGCGCCAGTCGCGCTCGCCATCACCGAGGCGATTTTCATCAACGCCCCAGCGGTATTCTACCGCACGATCTCCCAGCCCCCGCCGGGAAAACTAGCCGAAGCGACCTCTGGGGGCGGGGGCGCTGAACGTCGAAGCGCTGAAGACCTCCTATTGACGCAGAACCGTACAGAAACTGGTCCGACATCACCTGCTGCTGCAAAGGATAGCCGGCTTTCACTCGACATAGCAGTAACAATTGATGGTTGTGTAGTTAATGCGTTAGTGGACACCGGCGCAGACTATTCCATACTGAGCGGGAAACTGACAACGCAGCTGAAGAAAGTAATCACGCCGTGGCATAACTCGCAGATTCGGACAGCTGGTGGCATTAACGTGACACTATCATAATGACTTGATGGTTTAAAGCTGGCAAGCCGTTACAGAAAACACACATGTTCCTGTGCATATTCCTTTAAGACTACGTAGTGGGTGTTAGCAAGTTCAAAAACATATTACGTGCATAATTTCTGGGTTTTGTATACTTGAGGACAGGGGCAAAGGCCAAAGAGGAAAACCAAGAAATTGTGCAGTGCATAGAAAATGACATTGGACGAAGAGTGCGAGGTAATTATATTAGGAGATATGAATGTGCACATAGAAGATATGGATAGATATACTGACTCAACAGGCAGAATGCTAATGTATATGTGTGATAAGAATGATTTAATGATTTGCAACAGTACCGAGAATTGCGAAGGGCAGATAACGTGGGAGGTGGGAAGGCTACAACCGACGATAGACTACGCAATGATGTAGTCTATCGTCGTATGATCGGCTAAGGGTGATGAACATAGATGAATACGGGTCCAGAAGCTTCGGCAGTGATCAAAAACGTATCAAGCTGAGTTTTGGAAGAAAAATGAAAATGGAAATGAGGCATTTAGGGGAACCACACGGTAATATTTATTGAGAAAGGCAAGTAGAAATAGCAACAAAAGAGATTGATAAAAAAATCGCCGAGGACACTAAAACAAAAGTAGACGTACACAAATCCATGCTCGATTGTTTGAGTTAGAACTTGCTAAGGTACGAGTCAAGTCAGCCGGGAAAAGGAGACACACCCGAAATCTGGTGGGATGAGGAAGTTAAGACAGCCATAGTAAGACGTCAGGAAGCCTCCAGGGAACACAGGTATGCAAAAAAGAGGAGTGTACTGGAAGATGGTCAAAAGAAAATGGGACAACTTCTCCAACTGCAGAAGGGAAGCGTCCGATCTTATCAGCGATAAGATTAAAAGAAATGGGGCCCAATGGATGGCGGAAGTAAACAAAAAGGATAGAAATGAAGCTGCAAAGTTTTTGAACCATCTAAATTCTCTGAGTAATAAGACAGGCATAGAAGAGAGGTTTATAACTACAGTTCAAGGGGTCAGACAAGAAGGGGATGAGGCAATGGAATGTATAAAAACAATGATGACAGAAAAATTTAAACACCAAGAAAACGATGCATGCATCCGTACCAGATGATGATGGACCAATTAGCTCAGTGGCTCCTCTGAGACAACGAGAGTGGGAAAGGGCGGAAAAAGCACATCAAAAGGCCCTGACGGCATCCCAATCATGCTAATAAAGAAACTAGGACCAAACTCTAAACAAACATTAAGAGACGCAGCGAGCAAAGCAATAATGGATGGTGAAGCTCCCAATGGGGGGAAAGCTAAGCATGATGAGCACGATCTATAAAGGAAAGGGGGACAACGCCAATTTAAACAACTACCGTCCTATAACAGTAACATCAGTAGTTTACAGGCTGGCGATGCAGATAGTAAAAGAAAGACTACAGACATGGGTGGAGAATGGGGTGTGCTGGGAGAACTACAAAATAGGTTCCGTAAACTAAGGAGGTTTGAGGACAATCTGTCACCATTGATGTAGTGTATTGAAATAGCAGAAAAAGAACACAGGCCCCTGTGGCTGGCATTTCTAGATATCAAGGGAGCTTACGATATCGTCATTCAAGGGGACTTGTAGGGAATACTAGGACACACTATGTGTGGAAGATGGCGTCACTAATCTTTTAAACGATATCTATAAAAGTGACAAGGTAGTTATAAAATGGGAAAAACAGGTATCTAAGCCCACAGAGATAAAACGGGGGCTTAGGCAGGGGTGTCCTCTGTCACCCTTGTTATTCATGATGTACCTACAAGGATTAGTGACCAAATGAGAGGGGAGTGGAGCTGGCTTTAGCCTCTCTTGCGTCAAACAAGGAAAACTAATTGAACAGGCACTACCAGCATTGATTTACGCAGATGATATAGTGCTAATAGCCGACAACAAGGAAGATTTGCACAGATTGATAGACATCTGGGGTGATGCGGGAGATAGGTTAGATTTGAGATTCAGTAAGA